TGATAAATCAATAGCCATTGTAATGTGTGGAAATGCATTGTAAAATTTGAAATATAGCATAATATTAATTTACTAAAATATAAAATTAACATTAAAATAGAATTGTTTGCCTACTGACCTTCCCTTTTTTCAGGCATGTTACCTGAAATAAACATTTTTTGTTTGGCTATAGCTATATTACCTTTAAAAACGTCACTGGTCACGCTTGGTCATTTTAGTATGCCTGCACCTGACCGTAAAGTCCATTATACCATTATATAATTATATTTTGCTGGTAAACAGTGGATACTTGTGTGATTATAATTGGACCAAACCATTATTTCTATCTTTTAGAACAGTGAAATACTGGTATACAATATGTGCAGTAAATTTTGCAATATTACTTTACCCAAGTCGGCATGGGATTGTGGTTGTAGATTGTGGTCCTTAAATCCAGTTGATTTATGTTCAGTCTGAGTGTGAGATACAATGTAAACAGATATATGTGACTCACTTTCTTAGTGGGGATACAATGTACTGTATACAGGTCATGTGACTGTGGGGATTGAAGTACTTCCTGATCAGCAATAGTTGACAGATATGGGACTAATGGTTTTTATATAATTACATAACCTTGTAATAGTATCTGTTGTATGCTATAGACATAATTACATTTTATGATTTAATACAGTGCCTTTATGAAATAATTTCTGAAAGGGATATCACTCAGCTGGTAGCAATACACACAGTGAATTGAAGTAGGTAATTTTACAAAGTATACATACATATATATGGGGTGGTCGGGTGGTGCAGTGGATAGTGCACTCGCCATTCAGCAAGGCGGCTGGGGTTTGATTCCCCGATCGGACGTGAAAAGGTATGGGGTCACCTGTCCGATCACGTGGGTTTTCTCCGGATTCTCTGGTTTCCTCCAACACTAAGACCCCGCACACGCTAACATCAGGGCCAACAAGCTTAAGAGTGATTTATATATAATAAGTTGACATAACTTGTTTCATAATTGTTGTAAAATGAATAAAGTTTATATTTATATTTTTATATATATGTAAATTATTAGAAATAATTTAAGTAAGTACTGAGGTAAGAGTTAAGAGAGGCAATTTTGTCATTTATAAGGTGTTCTTATTACAAGACATGTATTGTTGGTAATACAAAAGGTTACACTTTCTGTATGTATGCTAGCTTAAACTCACACTCCTAGGTCGCAAGCATCTGAGTTTAAGCTAGTATACATATAGAAAGTGCACGCTTACACAACAAGATTCAAGATTTTTTAAGATTTTTATTTCACACATATCATTATTACGAGTATATAAGTAATGAAACTCGTCCCCAATACCAGTATTACAGAGTGGGCATATTCTGTCCTGTCTTTGAATTCCCACCCATCTTCCTGTTTCTACTGGAAGCTTAATATTTGAAGTTCTAAATTTGCAGATAATTTTCCTATCTTTTGCATTTAATCGTATCAAATAGTCTTCTAAACCAAAGCAATATTTTGATGTATACGTAGAGTACAATCGCCCTCTGGATGAGGTGTCAATTTTAACCAGGATTGAATAAACTGATCGTGGAATTTATGTATAATTGCAGCTTAATCGACATAAAAACTTTCCCCAAGCATGAGACCAACGTAATAGCCCTGTAATTATCCAACTTTTTGCAATCACCTTTGTTCTTATAGATTGGATTGATTATTCCTGTACTTCAACTTTTCGGTATTATACCAGTGTCCAAAATTATATTAAACATATCAACATATACAGTTAAAAAAAAAATCTGACGACAAAAGAAATGTTCCTTTATGCCTCACCCTGCTGAAAAAACCTAAGTCGGCTAACATGGAACCTGGTACAGAATTATGCATACCTAAAATCTCAGAGTCCTTGTTTAATAAATGAGAATCCTGTGGCAGTGTAACAGTAAAACTGACTGGATTTGAATCCAGAGTTCTAGCTCTTTGATAACCCAGTGTACGTACCAGCTCTTTGATAACCCAGTGTACAAGCTTTTTGATAACCCAGAGTATGTACCAGCTCTTTGATAACCCAGAGTACGTACCAGCTCTTTGATAACCCAGTGTACAAGCTCTTTGATAACCCAGTGTACAAGCTCTTTGATAACCCAGAGTACAAGCTCTTTGATAACCCAGTGTACGTACCAGCTCTTTGATAACCCAGTGTACAAGCTCTTTGATAACCCAGAGTACTAGCTCTTTTATAACCCAGAGTACCTAAGCTCTTTGATAACCCAGAGTTACTAGCTCTTTGATAACCCAGAGGACTAGCTCTTTGATAACCTAGTGTTCTAAGCTCTTTGGTAACCCAGAGTACTAGCTCTTTGATAATCTAGAGTACTAGCTCTTTGATAACCAAGAGTACTAGCTCTTTGATAACCTAGAGTACTAGCTCTTTGGTAACCCAGAGTACTAGCTCTTTGATAATCCAGAGTTCTAGCTCTTTGATAACCCAGAGTTCTAGCTCTTTTTCCAACGTTTTCTACACCAACCCATGTTTTTAATTGAAATTAGGCCATGAGCAATGCCACATGACTTGACGAGATCTCACGTTACTGAAGGTATTTCCCAACGTTATGACGTAGGCTGGAGAAATCTAAGTCACGTGGCATTAGAAGGCGGGGCTATCAAAAAACTAGAGTAAAACAGAGTAAGTTTGAAAAAATATGTTTTTAGTGATTGTATTGGTTGTTTGAGGCATGTTATGTATGTTCATCTTGTGCATAAAGAATAGATCTTTCGATCCATGTGCGACATGTGTGTGAAAGTGACAATTTGTTTTTAAAATATCAGTTTGAAGTGCGCTCCGGGCGCAGGTTGCATATTTCCCGCACATTATAGAGGGCTGTAGTTCTGACGTTAATCGACGACAGAACGATATGAAAAAAGTTGATAAAATGTCAGAATAATTCGGACTACTTGTTGATGAGACAAGAAGACTAGTTCGATCCTTTGATGTACATCAAAAAAATCTTGCAGTCACGTAATGGTAAAAATTGACAGGCTTTGAAGTTGGGTGTCTCTCCTTTGTAATCTTCAAAGGACAGGTATCAGCCTAGCGATTGGTCATTTTTTTTACCTGAGACCAATCAAACAGCTATCTTCGTGCCTTCAATTTTGCTATGACATATTCCAGGGGTGTAGAGAGCAAAAGTGAGCGTAACCCCTGGATATCGAGGATGAGGTCACATGGGGTCAAATGTATTAGGAAAAGTTTATTTCTGATACTGTATTTGTATAGTCCTTTTCACCAGATACAGAATAATGCAAACATATTGTACTTAATAGAAATGTAGAAAATAATGTACAATGTATTCAGTATATAGTATATAGAACATGTAGTAGTTAAAAACTTAACATTTCCTCTTCTGAATAATCCACCAAGAGGCACTGGGCTTGGATATTAGGCCTAAAGCTTGTTTGAATAAAACGCTATGAAGTTAAATCAAGTGACTGACCTAATTCCATTTTCATAGTCACAGGGGTCAAATCTGTTAAGGATGTAAAAGTCTTCTCCTAAATACACTGACTGACTAGTGTCATAATATTTGGCCAGTAGCATGATGGAATAAAGGGCTATAGAAGGAATTTCAATAACCAAGAGTTGTCTTAAGTCCAGATATAAAAAGTCTTAATAAAAAAAAGGCTGAGATATTTGGAGTGAAGGGCTGTATTCTTTTTCCTTTTTATATAATTACATTTGAGGAAAAGAAAAACTTTAGTTAACTTAAGTTATTTATTTTTATTATTTATTATTTTTTATAGATGATGGCTATTAGCGGATTCGTGAATGTGATTATATCCTCCATTGAGCGACGTTATGATCTGACGAGCGCCGAGTCCGGACTTGTCGCCAGTGCCTACGATATCTCCTCCGCCATTCTTATACTTCCAGTCAGCTACTTCGGGGGACTAGGCTCAAAGCCACGTTATATTGGTATAGGCTTTTTACTGTTTGGACTTTCTTGCATCCTGTTTGCTTTTCCTCACTTCCTGTCTGGGATATACGATTCTGGAATAGACGATGGTGGACTGTGTGTACTGGGAAACTCGGCCGCGTCATCATGTGTTGGAGATCAAACTAACTCACTATCAAATTATAAGGTACTGCTAAGAATTCTTGGCTTTGGTACAATTCATGAACATCTATATGTTGACCTTGACCTCTGTCACAGTACTTGTAGGATTGGTACAGTACATGTACATCTATATGTTGACCTTGACCTCTGTTACAGTACTTGTAGGATTGGTACAGTACATGTACATCTATATGTTGACCTTGACCTCTGTTACAATACATGCATATACAACTGTACATCTATATGTTGACCTTGACTTCTGTAACAATACATGCATGTACATCTATATGTTGACCTTGACCTCTGTTACAGTACTTGTTCTATGCCTCTATGATCCTAATGGGAGCAGGAACCACACCGCTGTACACCCTGGCGACGGCCTTCATCGAGGAGAGTGTCCCTGTACGGTCTTCTTCCTTCTACCTAGGTATACAGTTCTATATATCACCTGCCGTGAAACCTGAAGGGTCTTTATTCCTTTTACAATTCCTTACAGGAACAAGATTTTCAAATAGACACATAAAGCTCTGTATATGTGGATTTGCGGTTATGCTAAAATATATTCATGTAAATTTTAGTCATATTACCGGTGCATAGCTGGGCTAAAGGCTACATGTAAGCCCAGGTGACGGGTCAGGGATCTGTCTAGGTCTCCACAGGGTTCAGGGCAGCACCCTGGTAGGGGGTGAGGGGGCCTTTTGTTGGAAAATGGTTTAAAGAATTTGGAAGCATGAAAATTGGTATCCAAGATGGTTATTTAAAGACACATTTTAAGTGCCAGTGAGTAGTATTAGTATCTAGTTAACAATTAAATACAATTATATGATGGTATCCTGATGACATGGTGTCAAGCTTTGTTTTTGTTTAGTGGTGACCATTTGGACATGAGGAACACAGAGATTTTTTGTGTAATTCTGTTTTTTTGCGTTCTAAGGACGCTATATATACGCTTCTGTCTAGGAGAGGGCAGTCATAGACTTTATCTGCTGCTCAAGTCCTGTATCTATGATCTAAGCTATAAAATAATCTGAAATAGAAATACTGTAGTCAGTCTATATCTAATCTAATCAAAGTTCATCACCTACGTGTATAAATAAGGTCGTAAAATCATATGTACCAGGTATTGCTTTCTTGTGGATGTCGTTCTGATATGAGTGTTGTTTATCTCCGGGTGTACATGGTACATGGCTATAAATATTGTTTTTTTCTGGGTGACACTTATGAGTTTAAATAAAATGAAATGTTAACGAACAGCTTTAAGGTAACATTGTAAAGTAAACCTGAGTGAAAGACAAGTATATCTCTAATACATTGTACTCGTTCACCTGTAATTGCCAAACCTTACATTTAAGTAACTTGCAGGATGACAAGGTGTTATCATTGAAATAGCAATTGGGAAAGAATAGTTATTGCTAAAAATGAAATAATTTATCATAAAAGTGATTGATTTGTAATGTAATAATCTTGAAGCCTGTTTCAACTATTCTTAACTGAGGGTTACATTCAGGAATTAAAAAATATGATAATTATTTAACTCATTAAAATATAAGTTTTATGCTTAAGTGTGTTTGAGTCACATATTTCCAAAAAAAAAAAAAGATTTTTTTTTTTTAATGAAACGATAAATATAACTAAAATAAAAGGACAATAATTAAAATTAGGAGGTATTTATAAAAATGTATCTTTTTGAAGGATATACATGTCTGTAGTACTGTTTTATTGTAGGTATATATTATGGTGCCAGCATCCTTGGTCCGGCACTCGGGTTCCTGTTGGGCGGTGTGTTGTTAGATGTGTATGTGGATTTCAATGTAGTCGATACAGGCAGGTAGGTAATATAAAGATGTCTTATATAAAAAATGAAAATTATCAGAAATCCAAATCCATATAAAAAAAACTTGATCTATACAAAGAACAGTCAAACGTTACATTTTGCTGAGGTAGTATGTACTATTGTGATAAAAATATAGGATCTTACATGACTTTCCATTTCATATGAGATTTATGAAAAAAGCTAAAATGAAAAATTTGTGACGAGTTTCATAAATTTCATATGAAATGAAAACAAGTGTAAGATCCTTTTATCACATAATCAAGATTTGTGGCATTTATTCGTGTAAAGCCACCAGTTTGACTCCAGTGCTCAGGTCTGTGATGTCATGTACTTGTCCTTGGCGTGACGTCACAATTGAAACTTACAACCAATCACAGGGCTGAATAGGTCATATATATTACATGGGTTAATACGCAAAAAATATGACATAGGTATATTCACTGGATAACACCACGAACTTAGATAACAATCTAATCTAATTCCGTGATAACACGGTACATTATGTGATACTGAATAACACCACGGACTTAGATAACAATCTAATCTAATTCGTGATAACACGGTACATTATGTGATACTGGATAACACCACGGACTTAGATAACAATCTAATCTAATTCCGTGATAACACAGTACATTATGTGATACTGGATAACACCACGGACTTGGATAACAATCTAATCTAATTCCGTGATAACACGGTACATTATGTGATAAATCTATTTTGTTCGGAGGCTACACCTACAATATGTATATGTAATAATGTATGGATTTCAGCTCAGTTATACAGAGCTATATCCCTTACTTATAGTCACTGTTCTTCACCTCATCTTTCATGCAGATCTTGCATACAAATTTACTTTTTTAAAGTTACCAAATTTTGTACGTGATATCCAAGGATGGCTGAGAGTCATAACAGAAATCAGGTCATACTCCCTAGTATGTACAAAGTTCACCATTTATCACTTTATCTAAGACATATACAGTTTCCAAATTTTGCATGAGAATACCACTTACAGTCATAGAGTGTCTTGTTATCAGGTCTCATTTGCAACTTATAGGGTAAAGTGACAGTGAGTCGGACACGATATAAAGTCGGACACTTTCTTTGTTGTTTTATGTGGTTTTCTATCCTTACAATCCGGTCTTTCCCTGTAGCTATGCTTAAACAAGCTTCTTATGAACATAGAGTTATCTTTCTTTGGTTACTAATGCCCTTCCTGTCCTTTTCAATACGGTCCCAGAGAAGTCCAGTCAGCGGGAATTTTGAGCTAACCCAAATAAGAATTGTTCAGTTTCAATCGTAATGATACGACTGGGATTTGATAAAGCTCTTGCATGAAGAGAAAAGAATATACTGAAAAGAAAGAAATATGTTAGAATAACGTTATTTTCTAGACATTTTAAAGCATTTTCTAACTGGTGTTTTGTTTTTCAAGTTTAAACAAAAGTACCCAATTCGATATTGAGTCGGACACAAAAATATGTTAAAGGGCCTGTTTCCAGTAATGTTAATTCTCCATAGGAGCCTGCCCCCGTATANAATAACAAAGTATATAACGCTTCTGCATTAATTTCTGTGCCTTATATGCCCATCTCTTCCTCACCGCCGCCACTTCCAGCTATGATGCCCATCTCTTCCTCGCCACCGCCACTTCCAGCTATGATGCCCATCTCTTCCTCGCTGCCACCACTTCCAGCTTCGTTGCCCATCTCTTCCTTGCTATCCACACTGTCCAATTCATTGTCTTTTTCTCCAAAACTTCCTATCCCTTCAGTACAACAGCCTCCTCAGTTGGCAATACACTCAGTGTTTCCGTTACCCAAATTACCAAAGAAAAGACCAGCACAGGAATATTTTGTAATAACGGCAGATGAGATATTTGACCCACGGAAGAAAGCATCTGAATTAAAAATTATACAGGAACTAATTAGGAGGGAATAACGTTTAGAATGTGAAAAGAAAAGAGCAGCAAAAGCACTTGCCGTTACCAATAAGGGAAGTGGACGTGGATGTGGTCGTGGTCGTTGACGTGGACGCGGGAAAGGTCCGACAAAATGACCTGATATGAACTCTAAACAGAGAATATATGCATAATGGTTTCCGTTAATTTGTAATTGAAACTTTTACTTTGTTTTACGTGTATATAGATCTGTATTGTGTAAAATGTGTTCATTGATCAGATATTATTATTTGGCAGCTTTATTACCAATAATGTACGCACTAAAATAAAGCGTGCTTTGTTTTGCGCCTATTCCACCTTAGTGATAATGTATTATACAATTATAGAATGGGTATGAGGGAAATAGCACATTTATGGTCCCCCGAGGTGAAAAACTATTTCCTGAGGCGGCGAAATGACAACAGCGAAAATGGCCACCGATGAAGGCTGTTTTGTCGTTGTAAAGAGGAGTTACAGCAGATTTTGGACGCTAAACGTAACCTAAATACAAAAGCTGTTATAAAGACTGGCGTGAATTCACTTTAATCTTATTTAACAGAACGGAATGACGGAAGCGTCGACGAGTAGGGTCATGCAAGCTCTTTTAAAAAAAACCAGGATAGGACTACTGCAGTAGATCTAGATATGGTAGGGAAACAATGGTGACTATGAGATTCAGTCTATAAAAACACTTCTTGAATGTTAGAAATAAAGATATCATCAACGACGATGCATACAGTACTTCCTATTGTATTTTTTTCTCTTTCAGTCTTTGAAATTGTAAAAGGAAATGAATAAATAAATTCATTTGTACAATTGACTTTACTGGATGAATTATTTGTTTCGTTATAATAAAACAGTTAAAGAATGGGTAATTCGGGGAAAAGCAAATTTATGGTCACCCTTGGTGAAAAACTATTTCCTTCGACGGCTTCGCCGCCTCGGGAAATAGTTTTTCACCTCGGGGGACCATAAATGTGCTATTTCCCTCATACCCATTCTATAACTGTATAATACACCATGTCATGCGGTGTCAGTTTCTACTCCGACAGTCCCTATCCTCTTCCAGGTTCGTTGTAATTCTCTATCTTGGCGAGTATAATATTAGATCTAGTAAAATGGAAAACTAAACGAATTATATAAAGCTCGCCACCATTAACAGACTACTCATTTACATAAGATTAAATAACAATGTTGGTAAGATGAAGACAACTCCGAAACAGTAACGTAAACCATACCTTTTAATAGTAGAGGGTTGTTCCAATAGCACAAGCTAACTACGGTGAAATAGGTCTTGACAAGTGATTTCACTCAAGATTTTGTAATAAATAATAATTTCTGCGAAAATGAAGTCAAGATGCCTGTACAACAAAAGAAAGTTAAGTAAAACAATGGAAAGGGCCATGAAATACATTTAAAAAGTCAATAATTTGAACGAGAACATTCTTGCTTTTGGTCATCTGGAGACTGTCCGATTCTATATCACAAGGTAAATCAGGTGTCCGACTCAATATAGAAAGCGTCCGACTCACTATCAAATTGCCATATTGCGATTCGTTTCGATTTGTCTTACGCTATATGATGAAAGGAGAAGAGTTCCGAGAAGCATTTGAAAGAGAAAAACGTAGACTATCGGATGATATCCATTGCATTTCAGTAGATTATATAGAACGAAAGCAATTTGAGTTTTAACAGAGGAGGCGTCCGACTCACTGTCACTTTACCCTAATATACGGAGTAACTCCCCTTTGTTCATCACTCCATTTCCTGGAATTGCCGATTTTACATGTAGGTACTTCTTTAAGGTCACAGGCTAGAGCTATTGAAATGGGGTTCTGAGCCCCTCCATCTATAGATCAAAGAGAGTTATCCCCCTTTGGTATTAGGATACAAAAGTTGGCCTGGAGATGCGGACTATGGATTATTTGTCATACTTTGATTTTACACCATATTGAATAATGTTTTGATAAAGGTGGTTAGAGGTATTGAAATGTGGTTCTGAGCCCCTCCATCTATAGATCAAAGAGAGTTATCCCCCTTTGGTATTAAGATACAAAAGTTGGCCTGGAGATGCGGACTATGGATTGTTTGTCATACTTTGATAGTTTGTGTTTTTATTCATGGAAAAAATGTTGATGTCAGTATCAAAATTAAGTGAGTTCTCAGAAATGTTTTTTTCAAAAATATTTCTCAAAGTCAGCAAAACCTGAAGTATTCATGGAATTGGGTGGTTCTGGTATCATTATTTTGAACAGTGCTTTTATGTAAATAATGCTTAACATCTTTCATGAATGTTGTCTTGTGATTGTGTGTTCCAGCTTGACAATTGACTCCACAAGTTCCCGCTTTGTGGGGGCGTGGTGGGTAGGCTTTGTGTTCTGTGGAGTGCTGGCTGTAATTATTACTGGCCCTTTAGCTGCCTTCCCTCCAGTACTACCAAGTAAGTCTGCAGGCTACATTTTATAATCTACCCAGCTTTAAAAACAGATACCAGTGAATCAGGAAGTACTTACTACATGTATTAAAAGGCTCTGAATTCTTTTTAGCAACTTTAATTTTCTACGTTATAATTTTAAACATATAAAATTCAGTAAACAGACAATTATAATTTCTTTCCAAAGGGTATGAAATATTGGATGAAAATTAATTGATAAAATTGTGAGTAACATTCCTGTGAACTTATATATATTAACAGATTCAGCACAGTATGTGTCAGAACGTCAGAAGGAAGTGTACAAAAACAAGGGAATGTCACCAGACGGGGCGACGGGAACTGTCAGTCTCGGTAACATTTGGACATCACTGAAGATGCTTCTTACAAATCCCACCTATGTATTCCTCAGCCTCGCAACAGCAACAGACGGTATGTCCATGTGCATCATGTACTTTTCTCCTCCATTAGACAGAGATGTTCACACTTCCGGTGGTCAGGGAAAGATTAATAGAATCTTCCCCTGCCTTGAGGGTGTGACAGAGAAATCTCCTACCCGAGGGGTGATGTTTTTTGGTTGTCTAACCAGAGGCTCTGCCCCCGAGAGTGGGAGAATAATAGAATCTATCACTCCTGTGTGATGTAGACAGAGATTTTTTTTTAGGTTTAGCAAGAGGTTTTGCCGAGTGCTAATTAAACCTAAAAAATATTTCATTCCGAGGGTTGAGATATCTGTCTACATCACACAGGAGTGATTGATTATTTTTCTCCCACATTTTCATACCGTAAATACAGTGTATTGTACTATATAATTGACAGTATTGATGAAGGTTTACTCTCTGTTTTGTAGGGATACTGTTGGTTGGTATTTCCACGTTTATCCCTAAGTTTATAGAGATACAGTTTGGCCTGCCATCCTCTACTGCTGCCCTCTACGTTGGTAAGTCACGTTATTATTTGTTAAAAAATATCAGGCCACATTTTGAGATTATGAATGAACGACCTTCATATTCATGGTCATAAGGGTCGAATGTGTTAAAAACTTTGAACAACATCTACTGAATAACCAAAAGGCCTAGGTTGATGATTGGCCAGTTACATTCTGGGATAAAGGGCTATTTATATCACAACACCTATATTCAAGGTCACAGGGGTCAAATTTTCTAGAAAACATGTAACCAACTTCTGAATAAAAAAATATGTTTAAGAGGATGGTTATAGTTTGGCCAGTAGCATTTTCAAATGAAGATCTACTAAGTTTGTTTAAATGAATGACATTCACCAATTACCAGGTTACTGTAGCGTCAGATATGTTGAAAACTTTAAATGACTTCTTCTAAATAACCAAAATTCCTATGATGATGATATTTGTCCAGTAGCTTGTTAGGATGAAGAGCTATCAAACAGTTCAAATCAGTAACGTTCATCCACATTCAAGGTCACAAGGGTCAAATGTGTTCCAAATCCTTTGAACGACATCCTCTGCATAACCAAACGTCACAGTTAGCACGTTGGGATCAAGGTCTTTCAATTTCGTTTAAATGAATTGCTTATGCTGATTTCAAGGTCACAGATGTGAACTATTCTAAAATAGTTCACTTCTTCCGAATAACCACGAGGCCTAGAGTGATGATATTTAGCAGTAGCAAGAAGGGATAAATATCCACAAAGGTTGTTTAAATTCAAGGTCACAAGGATCAAATGTTAAACCTTTCAATCACCTCTTCTAATAAGACTAGATTTATTAAGCCCATTAAAATATTGGTCCACTTTTAAGGTTACAAGTGTGAGATTAATACCAGGTGAGCGACGCAGGCTTATTCGGCCTCTTGATTTGGTTTGTAGCTGTTCCTGGAGGTGTCAGTGATCCTTTATTTAGGGGGTTAAGTGGTTTGTAGGTTTTGTAGCTGTTCCTGGAGGTGTCAGTGATCCTTTATTTAGGGGGTTAAGTGGTTTGTAGGTTTTGTAGCTGTTCCTGGAGGTGTCAGTGATCCTTTATTTAGGGGGTTAAGTGGTTTGTAGGTTTTGTAGCTGTTCCTGGAGGTGTCAGTGACCCTTTATTTAGGGGGTTAAGTGGTTTGTAGGTTTTGTAGCTGTTCCTGGAGGTGTCAGTGACCCTTTATTTAGGGGGTTAAGTGGTTTGTAGGTTTTGTAGCTGTTCCTGGAGGTGTCAGTGACCCTTTATTTAGGGGGTTAAGTGGTTTGTAGGTTTTGTAGCTGTTCCTGGAGGTGTCAGTGACCCTTTATTTAGGGGGTTAAGTGGTTTGTAGGTTTTGTAGCTGTTCCTGGAGGTGTCAGTGACCCTTTATTTAGGGGGTTAAGTGGTTTGTAGGTTTTGTAGCTGTTCCTGGAGGTGTCAGTGACCCTTTATTTAGGGGGTTAAGTGGTTTGTAGGTTTTGTAGCTGTTCCTGGAGGTGTCAGTGACCCTTTATTTAGGGGGTTAAGTGGTTTGTAGGTTTTGTAGCTGTTCCTGGAGGTGTCAGTGACCCTTTATTTAGGGGGTTAAGTGGTTTGTAGGTTTTGTAGCTGTTCCTGGAGGTGTCAGTGACCCTTTATTTAGGGGGTTAAGTGGTTTGTAGGTTTTGTAGCTGTTCCTGGAGGTGTCAGTGACCCTTTATTTAGGGGGTTAAGTGGTTTGTAGGTTTTGTAGCTGTTCCTGGAGGTGTCAGTGACCCTTTATTTAGGGGGTTAAGTGGTTTGTAGGTTTTGTAGCTGTTCCTGGAGGTGTCAGTGACCCTTTATTTAGGGGGTTAAGTGGTTTGTAGGTTTTGTAGCTGTTCCTGGAGGTGTCAGTGACCCTTTATTTAGGGGGTTAAGTGGTTTGTAGGTTTTGTAGCTGTTCCTGGAGGTGTCAGTGATCCTTTATTTAGGGGGTTAAGTGGTTTGTAGGTTTTGTAGCTGTTCCTGGAGGTGTCAGTGACCCTTTATTTAGGGGGTTAAGTGGTTTGTAGGTTTTGTAGCTGTTCCTGGAGGTGTCAGTGACCCTTTATTTAGGGGGTTAAGTGGTTTGTAGGTTTTGTAGCTGTTCCTGGAGGTGTCAGTGACCCTTTATTTAGGGGGTTAAGTGGTTTGTAGGTTTTGTAGCTGTTCCTGGAGGTGTCAGTGATCCTTTATTTAGGGGGTTAAGTGGTTTGTAGGTTTTGTAGCTGTTCCTGGAGGTGTCAGTGACCCTTTATTTAGGGGGTTAAGTGGTTTGTAGGTTTTGTAGCTGTTCCTGGAGGTGTCAGTGACCCTTTATTTAGGGGGTTAAGTGGTTTGTAGGTTTTGTAGCTGTTCCTGGAGGTGTCAGTGATCCTTTATTTAGGGGGTTAAGTGGTTTGTAGGTTTTGTAGCTGTTCCTGGAGGTGTCAGTGACCCTTTATTTAGGGGGTTAAGTGGTTTGTAGGTTTTGTAGCTGTTCCTGGAGGTGTCAGTGATCCTTTATTTAGGGGGTTAAGTGGTTTGTAGGTTTTGTAGCTGTTCCTGGAGGTGTCAGTGATCCTTTATTTAGGGGGTTAAGTGGTTTGTAGGTTTTGTAGCTGTTCCTGGAGGTGTCAGTGACCCTTTATTTAGGGGGTTAAGTGGTTTGTAGGTTTTGTAGCTGTTCCTGGAGGTGTCAGTGATCCTTTATTTAGGGGGTTAAGTGGTTTGTAGGTTTTGTAGCTGTTCCTGGAGGAGCGGGCGGTACTCTTCTGGGGGGGTACATCATCAAGAGGTTTGATATGAATGTCAAGAGGATTCTCCACGTAACTATAGCAGCCGTCACTGGAAGTCTCATGTTCGGCCTTGTACTCATCTTAAACTGTCCCAGCATTCCGTTCGCAGGAGTCAATATTGGCTATGGAAGTACCGACATAAAAAGGTCAGTTCAACCAATGAAGCAATGAGAAATCAGTTGATTCAACAACTCTATCTTTTAGGAAATTTTGGAAAATGTCATTGAAGTTCAAAATATTTAAACAATTTATGGGTAAGTGAAGGCACATATATTTATATATATAAAACCAAACATTAAGACTAGTATAATTCGTGTTTTGTTTTATCTATATTTTTACTGTCACATGGACATTTAAAACGTGAATATGGCAACTAAACCAACAGGGCCAGACCCAGCAATGATACTTCTACATTTATAGGTTAAAGTAAAATGTCACTGTAGTTAATCATACTTATATTTCAAGTTTCCAAGAATCACTAGGTCAAAGGTCAATGTCAGAATTACTTCAACTGATTTTTGGCCGGATTGCAACGTAATCAGGGCTTATAGATTGGCGATTCCTGTCCGTCCGTCTGACTGTCCATCCATCCATCTGTCTGCCTGTCTGTCTGTCTGTCTGTATGCACTAAGGTTAAGAAGAAGGGTTAAGCTCAGTTTCCAAGTTTTTGATTATCATCCCACATCAACTAAACTTGCATGGCTTATGTATCTAAGGATGTTTATCACACTTGATGCTTTGGATGCTGCTTCTGACCTACATTTTCCGCTTGACTGATCAGGTTAAGAAGTTTGGTTTAAATCTATTAATAAATATACAACATTTGATATAGTGCCCTACCTAGCTAACATAAGCCACTCTAAAGTGCTTTATAGTACATAGATATACAATTTTATACAATCAATACAATTAGCATATACATTAATCAATACAATATTGAGGAATCCGCAGGAGCTGCCTTATCAGGCGCTAACTACTAGTCCTATGCCACCTGGCTAATATATCTCCCTGTGTGTGTGTTGGAGTTGTATTTTGTTTAGGTCACTTACCAAGTAACTACTTTTCCTACATCAACTAAACTAGCATGGCTTATGTATCTAAGGATGCTTGTCACATTCAATGCTTCGGATGCTGCTTCTGACTTACATTTCCCCTTGACTGACCAGGTTAAGAAGATTGGTTTAGGTCACTTACCAAGTAACTTCTTGTTGTACAACAACTAAACTTGCATCATGGCTTATATATCTTAAAGGATGCTTATCACATGGGATGCTTTACATGAAAATGTACTGTAGCAATCTGGCCATATCGCCATTGGCAGTTTCTTGTTGTTTTAAGCATAGTTAGGATGACCAATAGGCGAACTCGAAACCCCAGCACAATGAACAAATACAACCCTTAAAACTCTTCTCGATCATCAAAACCACAAAAAAAGAAAACACAGACACCATAGCACTTCATAAAAACGGGCACCTCACAACAGACCCAAAAAAGCCAAGGAGTCGACAAACTACTGAATAACATTACACACTAAAATCTGTAACTTCAAACAACTATCTAGGTATCACACTTCAAAACAACTTAAAAACGAACAAACACATTAACAACATCACAACAAATGCAAATAAATCACTAGGCTTTCTGAAACACAACCTAAAAATAAATTTACCACACATAAAGGAACATACATATGTAAGACCAAACCTCAAATACAGCTCTTCAGTTTGGGACCCTCATTACACAAATAACATAAATCAATTAGAAAAAGTACAATGAAGAGCAGCACAATACGTCCTAAACAAATACCATATCACAAGCTCAGTCACAGACATGATACATAACTTGCAATGGCCAACACTACACACATGCAGAGCAAGAACACACATTATTCTTCTCTACAAAATGATACACCAACAAGTAACACTACACACTAGCAATCTTATCCCTGCAGACACCAGAACACATCAAGGACACGACCTTATAGTTACAGACATATCTACACATCCAAAGACACATACAGACATTCATTCTTTCCATCCACCATAACACAGTGAAACCTTCTACCCAAAACAATCATCTAATCAAAAACACTAGAAGAATTTAGAACATGCACCACATATAACATAATCGAACATATACAAAACCTACAACATAACTAACACTCACTGCTTTTAACCTGTTTTAAACCTATAGCAATTAAAAATAAATAAAAATATCACTGTGCATAACAACGCACTACAGCACAAGACCACAATTCGTTAATCGTCCATATTGACAGATGAAGGTTTAAAGATGAAGATGAAGAATGCCATTACTTAATTCTGTAAATAGGTTGCATATGAAAAGTGGTTGAGACGAACGTCCAAGGGTGAATTGAGTACTGTGTTATTGTGTAAGTTAAGTTTGTATTTGACCTAGATATGAGGACCTTAGGTATTAAGGAACGCTGTTCCACTGCAGGTAAAACAATGGAGAGTTAAAACCGCTGTAGTCTCTAGCTTATACATACAAAAGCGTCCCTTTAACTTCATTTTGGATAAAACTGTTGTGGGACATGGTCAAGCTATCACTGATCAGGTAGTATGGTTGGTATCCTCGATATCCAGGGGTTACAGTACTGTCGCTCTCTACACCCCTCATCCTGGATATCCAGGGGTTACGATCACTTTCCTCTCTACACCCCTCATCCACGATATCTAGGGATTACACTCACTTTCCTCTCTACACCCCTCATCCTCGATATCCAGGGGTCACGCTCTCTTTCCTGTCTACGCCCCTCATCCTTGATATCCAGGGATTACACTCACTTTCCTCTCTATACCCCTGGAATCATCCTCGGTATAAAGGGTTTTACGCTCACTTTCCTCTCTACTCCCCTGGAATCATCCTCGGTATAAAGGGTTTTACGCTCACTTTCCTCTGTACACCCCTCATCCAGGATATCCAGGGGTTATGCTCACTTTCCTCTCTACACCCCCGGAATCATCCTCGGTATCCAGGGGGTACACTCACTTTCCTCTCTACCCCCCTCATCCAGGATATCCAGGGGGTACGCTCACTTTCCTCTCTACCCCCCTCATCCTCGATCACCAGGGGTTACGCTCACGTTCCTGTCTACGCCCCTCATCCTTGATATCCAGGGATTACACTCACTTTCCTCTCTATACCCCTCATGCTCGATATCCAGGGGTTACACTCCCTTTCCTCTCTACCCCCCTCATCCTCGATCACCAGGGGTTACGCTCACGTTCCTGTCTACGCCCCTCATCCTTGATATCCAGGGATTACACTCACTTTCCTCTCTACTCCCCACATCCAGGATATCCAGGGGTTATGCTCACTTTCCTCTCTACACCCCCGGAATCATCCTCGGTATCCAGGGGGTACACTCACTTTCCTCTCTACGCCCCTGGAATCATCCTCGGTATAAAGGGTTTTACGCTCACTTTCCTCTGTACACCCCTCATCCAGGATATCCAGGGGTTACGCTCTCTTTCCTCTCTACACCCCTGGAATCATCCGCGGTATCCAGGGTTTTACGCTCCCTTTCCTCTCTACACCCCTCATCGAGGATATCCAGGGGTTACGCTCACTTTCCTCTCTCCTCCCCTGGAATCATCCTCGGTATCCAGGGTTTTACGCTCACTTTCCTCTCTACACCCCTCATCCAGGATATCCAGGGGTTACGCTCACTTTCCTCTCTACACCCCTGGAATCACCCTCGATATCCAGGGGTTACGCTCAATTTCCTCTCTTCACCCCTCATCCTCGATATCCAGGGGTTACGCTCCCTTTCCTCTCTACACCCCTGGAATCACCCTCGATATCCAGGGGTTACGCTCACTTTCCTCTCTCCTCCCCTGGAATCATCCTCGGTATCCAGGGTTTTACGCTCACTTTCCTCTGTACACCCCTCATCCAGGATATCCAGGGGTTACGCTCACTTTCCTCTCTACACCCCTCATCCACGATATCCAGGGGTTACGCTCACTTTCGCTCTCTACACCCCTCATCCTCGATATCCAGGGGTTACGCTCACTTTCATCTCTTCACCCCTCATCCTCGATATCCGGGGGTTACACTCACTTTCCTCTATACACCCCTCATCCTGGATATCCAGGGGTTACGCTCCCTTTCCTCTCTACCCCCCTCATCCTCGATATCCAGGGGTTACGGTACTATGGCTCTCTACACCCCTCATCCTCGGTATCCAGGGGTTACGCTCACTTTCCTCTCTACACCCCTCATCCTCGATATCCAGGGGTTACGCTTACTTTCCTGTCTACACCCCTCATCCTTGATATCCAGGGGTTACGGTACTATCGCTCTCTACACCCCCCATTCTCGGTATCCAGGGGTTACGCTTACTTTCCTGTCTACACCCCTCATCCTCGATATCCAGGGGTTACGCTCACTTTCCTTTCTACACCCCTCATCCTCAATATCCAGGGGTTACGCTTACTTTCCTCTCTACACCCCTGGAACATGTCATAGCAAAATTGAAGGCCCAGTGTTTAACACCTTGTTGATGAGACAAGAAAATTAGTGGGATCCTTCGATGTACTTCAAAAGAATAATGCGGTCACGTATTGGTAAAAAATTACAGGCTTAGAAGTCGGGTGTCTCTCAATTGTCATCTTCATAGGCCAGGTATAGCCTAGCGATTGATCAGGTGTTTTTTACGCAAGACCAATCAAACAGCTATGTTCGTGCCTTTAATTTTGCTATGAAATATTCAAGGAGAGCACAAAGCAAAAGTGAGCGTAACACCTGGATATCGAGGATGTATGGTTAGTGTCAGTGACCATACTGCGATTGGGGTTCCTGGGTTCGAATCTCAGTCGGGTCCCATAACATTCTGACTCTCTGATCACTCTATTGTTGATATTTGTATGCTTTGTGCAATCTATCTTATTTTTCATAAAAGTTTGCAATACCTGGTTTTCTTTGATTTATTAAAGCCATGTCTGATTTGTAAAAAGTGTTCACTCGCTGTTACAGCTTTTGATAGTTGTACAGGAATCCTTAATGAGAAACTCTGGGTTTAGTTAGTTTCAGTTGTATACCTGATATTGTTTATACCTGACATTGTTTATACCTGTCATTGTTTATACCTGTCATTGTTTATACTATACCTGACATTGTTTATACCTGTCATTGTTTATACTATACCTGACGTTGTTTATACCTGTCATTGTTTATACTATACCTGACATTGTTTAAAACTGACATTTTTTGTATCTGACACTATTTATACATGATGTTGTTTATACCTGTCATTGTTTATACTATACCTGACATTGTTTATACCTGTCATTGTTTATACTATACCTGACATTGTTTATACCTGTCATTGTTTATACTATACCTGACATTGTTTATACCTGTCATTGTTTATACTATACCTGACATTGTTTATACCTGTCATTGTTTATACTATACCTGACATTGTTTATACCTGTCATTGTTTATACTATACCTGACATTGTTTATACCTGTCATTGTTTATACTATACCTGACATTGTTTATACCTGACATTGTTTATACTATACCCAACATTGTTTATACCTGTCATTGTTTATACTATACCTGACATTGTACAACTGACATTTTTTGTATTTGTCGTTGTTGATACCTGACGTTGTTTATATCTGTCATTGTTTACATCTGTCATTGTTTATACTATACCTGACATTGTTTATACCTTTCATTGTTTATAACTGACGTTGTTTATACCTTTCATTGTTTATAATATACCTGACGTTGTTTACATCTGTCATTGTTTATACTATACCTGACATTGTTTATATCTGTCATTGTTACACTATACCTGACATTGTTTATACCTGACATTGCTTATATCTGTCATTGTTTATACTATACCTGACATTGTTTATACCTGTCATTGTTTATACCTGACATTGTTTATAACTGACACTGTTTATAACTGTCATTGTTTATACCTGTCATTGTTTATACCTGACATTGTTTATACCTGACATTGTTTATACCTGTCATTGTTTATACTATACCTGACGTTGTTTATACCTGACGTTGTTTATACATGACATTGTTTATACCTGACATTGTTTAAACCTGTCATTGTTTATACTATACCTGACGTTGTTTATAACTGTCATTGTTTATACCTGTCATTGTTTATACCTGTCATTGTTTATACCTGACATTGTTTATTCCTGACATTGTTTATACCTGTCATTGTTTATACTATACCTGACGTTGTTTATACCTGACATTGTTTATACCTGACATTGTTTATACCTGACATTGTTTATACTATACCTGATGTTGTTTATACCTGTCATGGTTTATACCTGACATTGTTTAAACCTGTCATTGTTTATACTATTCCTGACATTGTTTATAACTGACATTGTTTTTATCTGTCATTGTTTATACCTGACGTTCATACCTGTCATTGTTTATCCTATACCTGACATTGTTTACACTATACCTGATATTGTTAATACTATACCTGACATTTTTTATATCTGTGACGTTGTTTATACCTGTCATTTTTAATACCTGTCATTGTTTATAACTGACATTGTTTATAACTGACATTGTTTATAACTGACATTGTTTTTATCTGTCATTGTTTATACCTGATGTTGTGTATACCTGTCATTGTTTATACCTGTCGTTCATACCTGTCATTGTTTATAGCTGACATTGTTTATACCTGACGTTGTTTATACATGACATTGTTTATAACTGACATTGTTTATATCTGTCATTGTTTATACCTGTCGTTCATACCTGTCATTGTTTATCCTATACCTGACATTGTTTATTCCTGACATTGTTTATACTATCCCTGACATTGTTTATCCGTGACATTGTTTATACCTGACGTTGTTTATACCTTACATTGTTTATACCTGACATTGCTTACATCTGTAATTGTTTATACTATACCTGAAATTGTTTATACCTGACATTTTTTATATCTGTGACGTTGTTTATACCTGTCATTTGTCATTGTTTATACTATACCTGACGTTGTTTATACTATACCTGACATTGTTTATACCTGACATTGCTTACATCTGTCATTGTTTATACTATACCTGAAATTATTTATAACTGACACTGTTTATACCTGACGTTGTTTATACCTGTCATTGTTTATACTATACCTGACATTGTTTATACTATACCTGATATTGTTAATACTATACCTGACATTTTTTATATCTGTCATTGTTTATACCTGATGTTGTTTATACCTGACATTGTTTATACCTTTCATTGTTTATACCTGTCATTGTTTATACTATACCTGACGTTGTTTATACCTGTCATTGTTTATACTATACCTGACATTGTTTATAACTGACACTGTTCATACCTGACGTTGTTTATACCTGTCATTGTTTATACTATACCTGACATTGTTTATAACTGACATTGTTTATATCTGTCATTGTTTATACCTGACATTGTTTATACCTGTTATTGTTTATACTATACCTGACATTGTTTATACCTGTCATTGTTTATACTATACCTGACGTTGTTTATACCTGTCATTGTTTATACTATACCTGACATTGTTTATAACTGACACTGTTCATACCTGACGTTGTTTATACCTGTCAATGTTTATACTATACCTGACATTGTTTATAACTGACATTGTTTATATCTGTCATTGTTTATACCTGACATTGTTTATACCTGTTATTGTTTATACTATACCTGACATTGTTTATACCTGTCATTGTTTATACTATACCTGACGTTGTTTATACCTGTCATTGTTTATACTATACCTGATGTTGTTTATACCTGTCATTGTTTATACTATACCTGACATTGTTTATAACTGACATTGTTTATACCTGACATTGTTTATACCTGTCATTGTTTATACTATACCTGACATTGTTTATACCTGACATTGTTTATACCTGTCATTGTTTATACTATACCTGACATTGTTTATACCTGACATTGTTTATACCTGTCATTGTTTATACTATACCTGACATTGTTTATACCTGACATTGTTTATACCTGTCATTGTTTATACTATACCTGACATTGTTTATACCTGACATTGTTTATACCTGTCATTGTTTATACTATACCTGACATTGTTTATACCTGACATTGTTTATACCTGTCATTGTTTATACTATACCTGACATTGTTTATACCTGACATTGTTTATATCTGTCATTGTTTATACTATACCTGACATTGTTTATACCTGACATTGCTTATATCTGTCGTTGTTTATACTATACCTGACATTGTTTATACCTGACATTGCTTATATCTGTCATTGTTTATACTATACCTGACATTGTTTATACCTGACATTGCTTATATCTGTCGTTGTTTATACTATACCTGACATTGTTTATACCTGACATTGTTTATACCTGTCATTGTTTATACTATACCTGACATTGTTTATACCTGACATTGTTTATATCTGTCGTTGTTTATATATGTCATTGTTTATACTATACCTGACATTGTTTATACCTGACATTGTTTATATCTGTCGTTGTTTATATTTGTCGTTGTTTATACTATACCTGACATTGTTTATACCTGACATTGTTTATATCTGTCGTTGTTTATACTATACCTGACATTGTTTATACCTGACATTGTTTATACCTAACATTGTTTTAACGATCATTGCAGCACTTCGTTCCTGGGAAGTTTTGTGAATCATACCTGTCACTCTAACTGTGGTTGTAGCCAGGATGAGTTCAATCCTATTTGTGGGCGGGACGGATTGACCTATTACTCGCCCTGCTACGCTGGCTGTCAGACAGTGGTCACGAATGAAGAAAATGTGGTCAGTATACTTAAGCTTATAATGAATAAACCAAAAACTCCATTGTAATGAAGGCTGAGAAATCTTGTCCCAAGGGTTTGAAGGTTTTTCAGGTCTACCATAATGTTCTAGATATTTTTTCCGCACATTTTGCTACTGTAAAAAAAATCTGATTTCCTTTAGCAATGGTGCATGATGTTTGGCAAAATCAATGATACAAGCCTGTTGTAATAATGGTAGTACTGCACTGACAAGGTTCTATAGTGACAAGGTTCTATAGTGACAAGGTTCTATAGTGACATGGGGACGTTTTCAGAATAAAGCTGCACAGTAAACTGTATTTTTCTGTTACCCTGGACAGGTGTTTCTCTTACCCTGGACAGGTGTATCTCTTACCCTGGACAGGTGTATTTCTTATCCTGGACAGGTGTTTCTCTTACCCTGGATAGGTGTATCTCTTACCCTGGACAGGTGTATCTCTTTCCCTGGACAGGTGTATCTCTTACCCTGGACAGGTGTTTCTCTTACCCTGGACAGGTGTATCTCTTACCCTGGACAGGTGTTTCTCTTACCCTGGTAAGGTGTTTCTCTTACTCTGGACAGGTGTTTCTCTTACCCGGGACAGGTGTATCTTTTACCCTGGACAGGTGTATCTCTTACCCTGGACAGGTGTTTCTCTTACCCTGGTCAGGTGTTTCTCTTACTCTGGACAGGTGTTTCTCTTACCCGGGACAGGTGTTTCTCTTACCCTGGACAGGTGTTTCTCTTACCCTGGATAGGTGTATCTCTTACCCTGGACAGGTGTATCTCTTACCCTTGACAGGTGTATCTCTTACCCTGGACAGGTGTTTCTCTTACCCTGGACAGGTGTATCCACACTTTTCCCAGTTCGAGCTTTTCTTGACTCGCACCCTAGTTTTTCGTCATAGCAATTGTATGTCATCATTGTCATGTCATTGACCCAGTAATGTCAACAGTGCATCCATTATATATATATATATATGACAGTGTCAACAGTGAAGGAGGAATTTATAGAAGATAAATAAAATCTTTCACCCCTTGAAGTTGAGTAAAGGAAGAAAAGATAGTAGATATATAAAATCTTTCACCCCTTGAGTAAAGGAGGAAAAGATAGTAGATAAATAAAATCTTTCACCCCTTTGGTTAAGGAGGAAAAGATAGTAGGTAAATAAAATCTGTCACCCCTTGAGTAAAGGAGGAAAAGATAGTAGATAAATAAAATCTTTCACCCCTTGGGGGAAGGAGGAAAATATAGTAGATATATAAATTCTTTCAACCCTTGGGGTGAATTAGGTGAATATCAAGCCTAGGCAAAGTAAGAACACACCTGTGAGGTGTGAAGTGTGGATATAATACATACTTCTGTGTACAGATATAAATCCAATTCAAAAGAGTTCCAATCAAATCAGAGGTTAGGTATGTAAGGTAAGTGATATGTCCATCTGTCTGTCCTTACTGACTGTGGATTCCAGAGCATATCTCAGCCACTGTTTCATGGATCGGCATCAAATTTTGTAAATATAGGTATATCATAGGAAGGCTGTGTGTTCCATCATAAAACAAGGTCACTGTCACCTAAATTTGACCTTTGATGTTGAAAACCAATTAGTAAAATAATTGCTTCTGGATCATTTCTCAGCTGCTGATTCTTGAATGGACATCATTTTTTGTATATAGGTTCATCATGGAAAAGCAATTTGTCAAACCATAAATAAGGTCACAGTGACCTCATTTTGACCTTGACCGCAACTACTAAAATACAATACGACACACTTGTATAGTTGTTCCCCAATCTGTTTCCTAATTGGCTTATTATCTGCATTCAAATTATTTGTTTGGACTCTTGTTTGTGGTGATTATGACAATGATGTGAATTTGATGTATATTTTCAGCAATATCACAACTGTGTATTTTTTCAGCAATATTACAACTGTACGTGTGTAGGAAATGGTACGACTAATTACGAGGCTGCACTCAACAAGTGTGAACCCGACTGTCCATACCTACCCTTATTTATGGTCATTTTCTTTGGTGTTGTGCTGCTGACGTTTTTCAGCTCTATGCCTTTCCTTACTGCCAGCCTAAGGTAACAACCCAGCCTATAAGATATTCAGATTGTTTCAAGACCATATCTGATTAAATAAAATTTGGTAAAAATGATCATGTCTGAAAATGAAACTTTCGTTGTACAATGTATTATGGGGGAAAATTTAGGAATGAGCCAGTCAGTTAATTTGAATTATGTCCTTTACAAGGGAGGGAACCTCTTGATTGATCATAGAGAAAAAACAGTTTGCATGCATGCTAACCCCTGAATCTCGCAATGAGGGGAATACCTGCTAACCCCTGAATCTCACAATGAGGGGAATACCTGCTAACCCCTGAATCTCGCAATGATGGGAATACCTGCTAACCCCTGAATCTCACAATGAGGGGAACATCACTCCCATTGGGATATTAATTTATGCATGTATGGTTATTGTTACCTTGATTTTATCTTACATGGATTTACTACAGTAACCTTGGAGCAATATTTATTTCAATTTCATTTGTAGATTTTGTTAAATACATTAATATAAGTTACCTGTTACAGGTGTGTCCCTCCAAATGAGCGGTCATTTGCCCTTGGGATCCAACTCTGTGTCACAAAGTGCTTTGGTAAGTTGCCTTACATTGTAAAGGTTGATCAACTCTGTGTCACAAAGTGCTTTGGTAAGTTACCTTACATTGTAAAGGTTGATCAACTCTGTGTCACAAAGTGCTTTGGTAAGTTACCTTACATTGTAAAGGTTGATCAACTCTGTGTCACAAAGTGCTTTGGTAAGTTACCTTACATTGTAAAGGTTGATCAACTCTGTGTCACAAAGTGCTTTGGTAAGTTACCTTACATTGTAAAGGTTGATCAACTCTGTGTCACAAAGTGCTTTGGTAAGTTACCTTACATTGTAAAGGTTGATCAACTCTGTGTCACAAAGTGCTTTGGTAAGTTACCTTACATTGTAAAGGTTGATCAACTCTGTGTCACAAAGTGCTTTGGTAAGTTACCTTACATTGTAAAGGTTGATCAACTCTGTGTCACAAAGTGCTTTGGTAAGTTACCTTACATTGTAAAGGTTGATCAACTCTGTGTCACAAAGTGCTTTGGTAAGTTACCTTACATTGTAAAGGTTGATCAACTCTGTGTCACAAAGTGCTTTGGTAAGTTACCTTACATTGTAAAGGTTGATCAACTCTGTGTCACAAAGTGCTTTGGTAAGTTACCTTACATTGTAAAGGTTGATCAACTCTGTGTCACAAAGTGCTTTGGTAAGTTACCTTACATTGTAAAGGTTGATCAACTCTGTGTCACAAAGTGCTTTGGTAAGTTACCTTACATTGTAAAGGTTGATCAACTCTGTGTCACAAAGTGCTTTGGTAAGTTACCTTACATTGTAAAGGTTGATCAACTCTGTGTCACAAAGTGCTTTGGTAAGTTACCTTACATTGTAAAGGTTGATCAACTCTGTGTCACAAAGTGCTTTGGTAAGTTACCTTACATTGTAAAGGTTGATCAACTCTGTGTCACAAAGTGCTTTGGTAAGTTACCTTACATTGTAAAGGTTGATCAACTCTGTGTCACAAAGTGCTTTGGTAAGTTACCTTACATTGTAAAGGTTGATCAACTCTGTGTCACAAAGTGCTTTGGTAAGTTACCTTACATTGTAAAGGTTGATCAACTCTGTGTCACAAAGTGCTTTGGTAAGTTACCTTACATTGTAAAGGTTGATCAACTCTGTGTCACAAAGTGCTTTGGTAAGTTACCTTACATTGTAAAGGTTGATCAACTCTGTGTCACAAAGTGCTTTGGTAAGTTACCTTACATTGTAAAGGTTGATCAACTCTGTGTCACAAAGTGCTTTGGTAAGTAACCTTACATTGTAAAGGTTGATCAACTCTGTGTCACAAAGTGCTTTGGTAAGTAACCTTACATTGTAAAGGTTGATCAACTCTGTGTCACAAAGTGCTTTGGTAAGTAACCTTACATTGTAAAGGTTGATCAACTCTGTGTCACAAAGTGCTTTGGTAAGTAACCTTACATTGTAAAGGTTGATCAACTCTGTGTCACAAAGTGCTTTGGTAAGTAACCTTACATTGTAAAGGTTGATCAACTCTGTGTCACAAAGTGCTTTGGTAAGTAACCTTACATTGTAAAGGTTGATCAACTCTGTGTCACAAAGTGCTTTGGTAAGTAACCTTACATTGTAAAGGTTGATCAACTCTGTGTCACAAAGTGCTTTGGTAAGTAACCTTACATTGTAAAGGTTGATCAACTCTGTGTCACAAAGTGCTTTGGTAAGTAACCTTACATTGTAAAGGTTGATCAACTCTGTGTCACAAAGTGCTTTGGTAAGTAACCTTACATTGTAAAGGTTGATCAACTCTGTGTCACAAAGTGCTTTGGTAAGTAACCTTACATTGTAAAGGTTGATCAACTCTGTGTCACAAAGTGCTTTGGTAAGTAACCTTACATTGTAAAGGTTGATCAACTCTGTGTCACAAAGTGCTTTGGTAAGTAACCTTACATTGTAAAGGTTGATCAACTCTGTGTCACAAAGTGCTTTGGTAAGTAACCTTACATTGTAAAGGTTGATCAACTCTGTGTCACAAAGTGCTTTGGTAAGTAACCTTACATTGTAAAGGTTGATCAACTCTGTGTCACAAAGTGCTTTGGTAAGTAACCTTACATTGTAAAGGTTGATCAACTCTGTGTCACAAAGTGCTTTGGTAAGTAACCTTACATTGTAAAGGTTGATCAACTCTGTGTCACAAAGTGCTTTGGTAAGTAACCTTACATTGTAAAGGTTGATCAACTCTGTGTCACAAAGTGCTTTGGTAAGTAACCTTACATTGTAAAGGTTGATCAACTCTGTGTCACAAAGTGCTTTGGTAAGTAACCTTACATTGTAAAGGTTGATCAACTCTGTCCAACTAAACTCTGTTGAGAGACCTTCATTATTAGCCATTGTTTGAAGCCTCATATGTAGGATTTTTTCTCCGACAAGTTCTATCAGGTTTCCTCACTCCCGACTCATTGGATAAACCTGTTAGGAGTTAGTAAACACTAGTGGGTAAAACCCTTGACGCTGTTTCATTAGTCACTCTTCTAATTATGACATCAAGTAACAATTTTATTTTGGATTGAGACGTCACAGTTCATGGCATTTGTATCGCTGTTCCAAAACAGGAATAATGAATTCGATATACAGGATTGACCTACATTTACATATATGGTTAGCCGAACAACACAGACATTGTGGACATCTTGTTATTATTATTTTGTTTTGACAGGGTTTATTCCTGGACCTATTCTGTTTGGATGTCTGATAGATCTGTCCTGTTTTTGTTTTGACAGGGTTTATTCCGGGACCAATTCTGTTTGGATGGCTGATAGATCTGTCCTGTTTAGTCTGGAACACGAAGTGTGGTGACGAAGGCTCTTGTTTTTTCTACGACAACCAGAAAATGAGTAACAACATTCTAGCCATTGTTTTAGTGGCCAAAGCGGTCACTACATTACTGACCGTCTTCGCCTACGTATTCTATGTTCGTGGAGCTAAAAATAAAGCAGTTGAACAGCAAGCTAATGGCAAGTCTGGAAGTAAATACTCCTCACAAGAAACTGAATTATCTGAAATGTCAAAAGATTCTGTTTCAACAGAGTTCATAAAAACTAAAATAGGTTCAATAAACGATGGGTATAATACTGAACCAACAGAAACAAAACCTGCTGCTACTGAATTGACGAAAATGGAACTTATAATCTCAGACACAACAAATTCAGCACCCATTTCAACAGAGAAAGCCCTTGTAGAACCAGTACATGGACTACAGAGAGAGTCTTATACTACTGAACTATGATGTAATACACCAGAACACTCAAATGTTTTTTCCCCTTTTTTTTCCTTTTTTATTTCTTTTTTATTTTGTAATTTAATATTTATCGTTAACTCACCTGATCCTAATTGCAGCACTGCCACTTCTGTCATTTTTTCCTAAATCACACCACTTTTTCTGAAGGACCACATATTCTATGGTCAGTGCATTTGGTCTGTAGCTTGCTGGAGTGAATGACCATAGAATATATATTGTTAGATAAATCACCGGCCTTGACCCACATTCGAGGTCACTAGGGTCAAAGATGTTTAAATATTCAAACAACTTTTTCTAATGGACTATGTCTCCTGATACTTTCTCAGTAGCTTACGTAGAAGTAGGAGTGAAGGGCTATCAATGTTCTGAAAACAAATTACTCAAGATCATATGGCTCACCTGCAACCACCTGCTGATTATCACAATTGTTTCCCCTTTTTAAGTATTCATTTCTAATCTATCTTATATTTATAGTACATAATACAGTATATTACAACCTGGAGTATATATATGAATAATTTTTATCTTAACACAAATTAATATTTATATGACAATAACAATGTCTTCCATAAAAAAAAAAACGTATCTTTTTCAGAACCCCATTGTAAACTAGTTTTCAGATCTTCAATAAGGTTTGTCAGTTTGGTAATATGTGATATCAAAGTGTTACTTTCTTCACAAACAATGTACGTATTAAACCTGTCGCAACGTTTCAAGACCGACTGGTCCCTTTGTGAAGCTATGACTGAGTGAGGGATTTGTATTTTACCTGTACAATGATGTGACGAAATTGTATATTTTNTGCGATTTGTATTTTACCTGTACAATGATGTGACGAAATTGTATATTTTTCAGGTCACTAATTTTAGTTTGAAGGGCCTACTGTATGTAAAGGATCAAACTGTAAACTAGAGATTTTAGAATAAATCTAGCCTACAGGTACTATATTAATTATTACCTAATAATTTCAGAGTAAATCTAGGTTATAGGGTCATATTGTAATCAATTCATTTCAGACTAAATTGAGACTGGAAAACCAAATTGTAAACAAAAAAATGTCAGTCAATCTACTGTAGGCTAAAGCACAAATTCAAAACTGTAAACTACAATACAGATATGAGACTTAATCTGAGCAGGAGAGCCATGTTATACAGATTTCAGACTAGATAAATGTTGGACTTAATGAGGTTTCTACGTGGCCAGTATGGGTTGATAAACGTATCATAATCTCATGTACAACTCCCTCATAAATATCCGTACCTCTTTACAAAGCCAACAGTGAACTTCGTGTTTTGATGGCAGTATAACAAGATTTTATTTTTATTTCAATTCAGGTGTTTGTACCACAGTGTCACAAACATCAACTTTCATCGATCTCCGGTTCAAGGGAGACAACTTTCTTTCTTTCATGCCTTTCCTTGACCGTTGACATTTTGTGGTTTCAGATGTAGGAAAATGTTTTACCTTTAATTTGGAAAGTCAAATTACAACCAGACAGGAAGCCAAAAACACCCCTTCACGGCTGTATTGGAAACCCCATACCGTAGTGCAATATGTTGGTGATTTTCCTTTACAGAAATATCCGAGATTTTTTTGTCTTTAACTTCAATGGCATAACATATAAGTTTTTGAAAATATTGTTAATATTGTGATTATTAAAATATCAAATTTTGACGGACGTATTATGGTATAGCGTTTGCGTCCGTCCGTCTGTCCGGTTAAAGTTTGAGTGCAAGTGTCCTCAGTAGTGTACCGTTTAGACATGTGTTATTGTCCTAATGTTTGGCATGGATGTTCATGTTGGGTCTAACAAGGACAATATGGATTTAATTTGGGAAAATAATTTCTGTTTTTGGAAATTTTGGACATGTTTGGGACTTCTATATATATAATAAAATGTTTCAATGAAATCTACTATATTTTTACAACTATTGTTATTTTTTATATTTATTTGGGGAAAATTTTTAATGTCTGCAGCATTGTTCAGCTTGTTCCTCAAGTAAAAATGTTGATGTATACTTGTACCTATCCTCAATGAAAATATAATATGACAACTGTACTAAATAGATGGTATAATAGTAGATGGTATCTCAATGGTGATCGGATACCTCTGGTTGACCAGTGTTGACCATGACCAGTGTTGACCAATGTTGACCATGACCAGTGTTGACCAGTGTTGACCAGTGTAGATCATGACCAGTGTTACACTGAGTGTTGACCAGTGTTGACCAGTAGGTTATATTCATGCTTCACTGTCAAGTTGACTTTATGGATTCACTTTTGAATTTGTAGAATCACCTAACAACAAAATCCACAAAAACAACATTGTTATAAAACCAATGCTGTGTACAGTAATATAACTGTAAACTAGATTTCTTGTATTAGTTTAATGAGTGATAATAAGTGAAGGGAAGCATTACTGATGTTAAGAAGAAATCTTAATTGAAATTTCGTTAACTTCAATAATTCTCTCATTATGTAAAACTTACAGAATGATTGTAAACCTGGAGATGGAACAGTATAAATATGTTCTATCGTTTGGTGATAGAATGATTGTAATCCTGGAGTTGGTACAGTATAAATATGTTCTATCATTTGGTAATAGAATGATTGTAAACCTGGGGATGTACAGTATAAATATGTTCTATCATTTGTTGATAGGATGGTTGTAAACCTGGAGATGGTACAGTATAAATATGTTCTATCATTTGTTGATAGGATGGTTGTAAACCTGGAGATGGTACAGTATAAATATGTTCTATCAATTGTTGATAGAATGATTGTAAACCTGGATATGGTACAGTATAAATATGTTATATCATTTGGTGATAGAATGATTGTAAACCTGGATTTGGTACAGTATAAATATGTTCTATCATTTGGAGATAGAATGGTTGTAACTCTGGATATGGTACAGTATAAATATGTTATATCATTTGGTGATAGAATGATTGTAAACCTGGATTTGGTACAGTATAAATATGTTCTATCATTTGGTAATAGAATGATTGTAAACCTGGGGATGTACAGTATAAATATGTTCTATCATTTGGTGATAGAATGATTGTAAACCTGGAGTTGGTACAGTATAAATATGTTCTATCATTTGTTAATTGTTATTTTTGCAAGCTGTTACTTATTAAATGTTTTAAATGTACTGACATCTGATTTTGTGTTTTATTTCTTGCTTGTTTCATAAAAGTGTCAATTGGCATAATGACCTGTATATATGTTGGTGAAGAAATGGTGAGATATTAATATCTTACTAACTCCCACACACTTTCTGTTCAGTGTTTTAGTTCACCTGGTACAAAGGGTTTGTAGTCCTTCGTCTGTCAGTCGTCTGTCATCTGTCAACTTTTCAGTTGAACGACTTCTTCTGGAAGACCTAGGGCCATGATATTTGGCCAGTAGGTACCTGTGATGGAGTGCTATAATGTTTGTAAAATAAATGACCTTGACCTAGTTTCAAGTTAACAATTAGGAGTCCCAGAATGGCGTAACTTGTCCAGTAGGAACCCAATATGAAGTTCTTTAACCATTTCTTAAATAATGACCTTGGCCTACTTTCAAGTTAACAATAGTTTACTGTGTTAAAAAAACTTTAAACAACTTCTTCTGAATAACCAAGAGGCCCAGAGAAATGATATTTGCCTAGTATGTACCTTGGACAGTGCTTTACATTTTTCTCAAATTAATGACCTTGACCTACATTCAAGGTTACATGGGGTTTACTGTGTTAAAAACCTTTAAACAATTTCTTCTGAATAACCAAGAGGCCTAGAGAAATTATATTTGGCTAGTATGTACCTTGGACAGTGCTTTACATTTTTCTCAAATTAATGACCTTGACCTACTTTCAAGGTTACATGAGGTTTACTGTGTTAAAAACCTTTAAACAACTTCTTATGAATTACCAAGAGGCCTAGAGCAATGATATTTCATATTTTTATACCTGGGACTGAGTCCTTAAAAGCTTCCTGAAATATATAACCTTGACCTATTTTCAGTGTCACAGGGGTCAAATATTTAAAAAGCTATAAAAACACTTGGACAACCAGGAAGCCCAAGGTATTGATATTTGGCCAGTTTCATTAAATGGATACGTTGAAGGTCACATGGATCAAATATTTTAAAACCTTTGAGCAACTTCTTCTAAATAATGACTCATATGGTTATGCTACTTGGCAAGTAGTTATCTTGGACGGAGTACTATAAGCTTTTCTCATATAAATGAACTTGGAAATCTGGATGGTGGGATATCTGGATCAGTGGAGACTGGATGGTGGGACATCTGGACCAGTGGGGACTGGATGGGGAGATACCTGGATCAGTGGTGACTGGATAGTAGGACATCTGGATTAGTGGGGATTGGATAGTGGGACATCTGGATCAGTGGTGACTGGATGGTGAGATATCTGGATCAGTGGTGATTGGATAGTGGGACATCTGGATCAGTGGTGACTGGATGGTGAGATATCTGGATTAGTGGTGACTGGATAGTGGGACATCTGAATCAGTGGTGACTGGGTAGTGGGACATCTGGATCAGTGGTGACTGGATAGTGGGACATCTGGATTAGTGGTGACTGGGTTGTGGGATATCTGGATTAATGGTGACTGGATTGATATGGCTTGAATATGTATTCTGTTTTGGAAGCTTAATAAAAGTATAACACAAATTTCTATAAAATCTATTTTTTATTCAAAATATACATAAAATCTGACATAAATAGCACCTTGTAATACTGGTCAGTGATATGTAAGCATGACTTGAGCACATAAATGGTCAGATATAAATGGTCTTCTCCATCATTTGTATGCTAAAATATGTATGACCAACAGAGCATTCCCTTACCTTAAGGGTGTTAAATCTGCAACACAAGGGATGATGGTTTGGTTACCTAATATAACCTGGTGTGCTGCTTAAGTTAATAACAATCAATTAATCACACCGAGGGTTGGAAATCTCTCTGTTACACCCACAAGGTAGGAGACGATTATTTTTCTCCCGTTATTCCAATTCTATGTTTGAAACAATAGTTTTCAGTGTTTGTAATCTTTTTTTATCCTGATATGCACATGACATCTCCCTTCAACAGTTGATTCAGACATGCTTACAGCCATACCCTGCGGGTGACAGAGAAACCATAGCTAGCTGGGGGGGTGACCGAAGAATCATGGACAGGTAAAAAGGGAGATAATTCTGTGAATTTTTGGAGAATTATTTAACTACTCTAAATAAGTTTATACTGAAATATTGATGACAAGTTTTATAATTGTTCTCAGAGATGTAACATGATATTTGATTACAATCACAATACAAAAACTGAAAAAAACGGTACATCGTTTGACAATTCAATGAATGTCGAAAAAACATCCATTACGTTTAGGATAACTGTAAAACTGGTAAAGGCATGCACCTTTAAATATGAAAAACAAATAAAACAAAATGATCAATTAATGTTAAATTATCAGAACACATTTTAAACCTTAAGCTTTTGAAAAATCTCATTTGCATGTTTCCACAATGTAACATGTGATTTCAGTTTCATGATGGAATCATAGAATATGCAATTAAAGCAAAACATAATATACAGGTGAGCCGTATTACATGATTTCTAACATACCTGATTAATTAAATACTAGGTGTAAACCGCACAGAAATAATGTTTATATTCATATATTACAGACTTGAATGTATATTGCACTTTTCATTATCAAATAGTTATTCACAAGAACTGATGTCAAAATATCTTCAATAAGATTCATCAGTTTGGAAATATGTTATATCAAAGTTTTACTTTCTACACAAACAGTGTATGTATCAAATGTGTCGCATTTCAAGACCAACGGGTCCCTTTGTCAAGCTATGACTGATGTCAAAATAAGTTCACATACCAAGTCAATAATCCCGTGTGTACAATTTCCTAGGATCCCTGTCTCGCCGAGAATTAAAACCTCGCAACAACAACCGTTTATATCAACGAAACATTAAACACAGCTGGTTTATATACTGATGTGTATACAAAACTACATTTTTTGTTTACTGTAAAAGTGGAAATTTTCGTGTGAGGAAATGTTCACTTTGTGACTACGGTATAAGCTGACTGAAGTGTGGAAATTTACACGTAGACAATGGTACTGAAATCTATATATCTATAATCAGTATTCTCATGTAAAAAAATTTGCACTAATTTACTCCAGTTGAAAAACTCTAGCACTTCAAAACACCACAAAAATGTCCACTTTTACTTTATTTAAGTGATATGTGGCTAAAATTAACACAAGTACACTGTAAAGACATCTCGGTAAATTACATTTTAACCGACTGGTTACAAATTACTCACAAGACAGACATTTACACAAACTCATATTACAAGATTGTCACAAAATACAATCGACAAGACAATGTTCAAAATTACAAATTCAAACATTTACATTTTCATACACATCAATACAAAATTACAGAAAAATACACATCAATACAAAATTACAGAAAATACATTTACGTAAGTCTGTTGCAAAGTGACACCCAAGTAATGGCACCTGCAAAGATAGATTACAAAATTACACAAACATTTACAACAGTCACACAATGACAAACATTTTAATTACGCCAACATCACAATTACACAATACCTACATTTCAGGGCAATATGCTGCTAAATTAAAGACATTTACAATGTAAATGACAGATTTTCAATAATACGTTATAAAAACTACAAAGTACATCTACTTTATTGTGAAAATAAATAGGTATTATTACAAAGGCATCATCACCTATCATCTTGTAGTACAGAGTGAATCCTGTCACGAGGTCATCAATGTGTTCTGTAACCTTGACAACAGTTTATACAATAATTATATAATTACACTTGACCTATTTATTGGATGGAATGTTTTGTTTAATATTTTAAGTTTTGTGATGCATACACTTGTTTAACGATGGTTTATGAAGTGACATTTGTAATTGGAAAAAGTTGTACTATGGTGATGTGAAAAACGTTGACAGTTGATGAGATTATTGTAAACAACGAATCTCCATTATAACACACAGAAACACAAAAACACAATTTTCACAACTTATTCATTCTGGAAAGCAACCTATTCCTCAAGCCATTTATTCGTAGAAAATGCACCAAATAAAATATAAAGTTCTCATTAGTCAGTAATCAAAACTGGAAATACTATACACAATAAATAATAACATTACAGGTATAAAATACATTAAAACTATATAAACCTTACTTCTATCTATTTGGCTCTAGGACAGACAATTCATAATTCATCCTCGTACACTGTCAGTGCAAACATAGGAAGCAGGACAGGAGTCGTTCATTCTAATACATTTGAGATGTAAAATGGTATCTGATTGGTCAGTATAAATAATTAGCAACAGTGTAACTAGGAAATACTGCCCGTAAACTTCTAATTTTAATATGGAGCCCTGATCGTTATTTTTAATGACATCACAGATCTTTGCTGACTCTTAACATGTCTTGAAATGATGTCACAAACAATAGCATGAACCCAAATAGGTCAATGTTATCTGCCTTACTTTGAATGTTACTGACATCGGTAATCCATGGCAGAGTGACCTGATGTCATTAAAAACCCACACAAAATAACTTAAAATCATTATTACTGTCAGAGGTTTAGCCGATATGAATTAGAATGTATAGATTGTAAGGAAGTCCTTCAGACTTGGTGAGCTGAAATACAAACGCTGTATGTTTGATTCTACATCTCAGATCACACAAGGTTCCTTTGTGTTTTTTGGCATGAGCTAGAATGTTTCATAAAAGATAAAAGTGAAAAACAAATATACATATCTAAACAATTTTTTGAATGTCTTAATTATTTTACATTATATGTAAAGTACAAATATAAAGATCTGAAAAAAGATCTGAGCTAGCCTGCAATACAAACGAATTCAATAAAATAAATAAGATTTTAAGTCAACAAAAGCATATCCTGTGTTGTCAACTTTGTTTCTGCATCAATGACCTCGTCACAGTCAATAAACAGTATATCGTTGTTGTTAGGTAACTCGTCCTGTAGAGAGGAAGTGAGCGTGTCTATACTGTGGGTTGTCTCCCTTTGACGGTGACCATGTTGGATAGTTTCCCTTGGTAGTTCTTTTGATGACAGAGAAGTAGCACCACTGTCCTTATCAGATGGGTCAGCACTGCCCTCTTGTGGGGCCCCTCTGTAGAGAAGAAGGGCCAGCAGGAAGAACAGTGTAGACAAGAATTTCCCAACAAGTCCCACAGATAAAAGATTATTGCTCATGTTCTGATTGTCATAGAAAAAGCAGGAGCCATCTTGTCCACAATCTCTCTGCCATAACACACACGACACGTCTATCAACGTCCCGAACAACAATGGGCCTGGGATGGATCCTGGTAAACAGAAACGTTTTCTATGTACAGGGTTAATATACTGAAACTTACCCACATTACTGTATTTCTATGTACAGGGTTAATATACTGAAACTTACCCACATTACTGTATTTCTATGTACAGGGT